TAAATGTTAGAGTCACATGAAACTGGAATGTAAATTAAAGTTTTTGGAATGAACAATGCTATCAGTTACGTTACGCCAGAATTAACATTAATGAATCACCTGTAACCGTATATACAGAAAAGACGATTTTTCATGTGCGCATTTAAAGCATACTAAACAAATATCTCCCGCCACGGTGGTCTAGCTGTTAGAACGCTGGCCTTGTAATCCTGGGGTCTCGGGTTCGAATTTATAACTTGTGTTGGGCAAGGCCGTGGTCTAGGCAACACGGAGTTTTCCTCCGTGGCATCCCAACAATTACTCCATTCACACACAGAAGAAGGCAATGGCAAACCACTTGTGGATCATCTGCCAAGAACGTATATGAACAGGTCCCAGTCCGAGAAATGGATGGAAGGATCCTGTTCATATGGACCTGTCGTCAGACAGAACACTAAATAAATAAATAATGGTGCACTATATTTAAATTACATAATTAATTTGCGATGGACACTCATTTATGTATGCATAAGCCCCCTACAACCACACTTTTCCGTCGGTACAAACTATTGGTTTTAAGTCGTTAATAGTTATGTAGCTTATTGTAATATAATATGATAACCACTTATTTTAACCTGTACCGTAAGTTATTTTTAAAAGGACCAAAATATTCTTAGCTGTTTCCAAGTTATTAATCCCCACTTAAAATGTTGCCTTACATATAATAAAAGTTGCATTTTTTCAATTATCTAGCTGGTTTTATCAAGGATAGTCCTTGTGCAAAAGCTGCTAGTAGCCGAGTCGGTTAACAAATTCCTCGCGTTTTCTGGAATCCACATACTACGATGTTCACTAGGTCCCGCCAGTGGACGCTGAGGCGAGTTACTTTAATTCATACCGCACCTTTAAGATCCATCTTAATATTATCATAACACTTAAGGCTATGTCTCTCAAGTGGTCGCTTCTGTTTCCAGCTGACATCCTTGATTTAATCACACGAATAGTAGCCACGTAGAACTGCTTGAGAAATTTGAAACACCGCGGTTAAGCGGGCCACAGTTTGGAGATCAATGGTTTAGACCAGCGTTTCTCAACCTATGGTACGCGAACTAAGTAAGAAAATCAAAATATAATATTAACATAAATAAATTTTCCCTGAACGCATTTGGTTACTGGTACATTTAATGTGTTGAATTAGAGTTAGTGATACGACCAGCGAAGAATGGTGAGAATCCCTGGTTTAGACTATGGAAAGTTTCCAGAGTAGCTGTGCTTGGCATGTGTGTACCGCGATGCCTTAAGAACACATCCTATGTAAGTTCAAAAAGACTGAAAGAACTTAAAGGAAAGTTAAGTCTGAGAGTGGCTGAGACGAATGATATGTGCTAGAAGATTTGGGAAGTAAAACGTAAATGAGGGGAGTGTGGGCTGCGTACACAAAGGGTGTGTGTGTGTGTAGGGAGACTCCGTTTGGCTTGGATGCGCAGAAAGGCCTCGGGGTCCCAGCTAATTACAGATACAGGATGGGGGCTGGGCGGGGGTGTGCTATCTCTGATAAAGTTGTCTAAGGTTTGGTGGGAGGGGGGGACATACTCACATTCCGACGGCTTAGTCTTTACGACACTTTGGCCTACAGCAATTTTCCTTCCTTCCTTCCTCCCTCGTTTTCTCATATGGCGCAGATTCTACAAAGTTGACTTTTGCACACTAAGCTCAGGGTTCATGAGTTATCCCATTTCGCCCTTTCTGTATTCACAATACTGGTTTTATTTCCACTCACATAAATTGCCCTTTTCTAAATTACGTCATCAATCACTAGTACCCAGCGTTGTATCTGGTCTTCTGAAGAAAGCACGAATAAGTATGAAGTACTGAAGAATATTATTAAGCCATCCCTCCCTAAAGCATACGTATTTGTCCTGAGGCTAAACTATTTAATGAAACAAGAAAACCTTCAAGTCTTATAAGCTGGTAACAGTTCAGCCCGTCAGTAAATTCCCCACCGTTTATGAAACCAAAAGTTTCGTTGACCCCGCTGTGGACCCCGTCGCGAGCCAGATGAATCCAGTATACACCCTCACATCATATTCCTTTAACGTACGTTTTCGAAGGTGCATTTCTTCCAAATTAGGCCAAGGTCTACCAAGTGGTGAGTTTACTCTCACTTGTGGTTTCCCGGCCAAAGTTCTGTGTGCACGTTCTGCCCTTCAGACGCATTTACTGCTCATCTCAGCCTCTTGATCGGATCACCTCAGAATCAGATCTTAATGTTCTCATTACACGACGGTGAATCGAATTTGCCTTGTATTCAGTGCGTCAGGCGACATGTTCGGTATGGAGAAGACTACTTACCATTCAGGACGTGAACCGTGATGCTTTTGGACTGAGCATTCGAAGGGTTGCACTGGTAGCGACCGGAGTCCGAAGGCCGGGCCTTCTGGATGAGCAGAAAGCTGGTGGTCGTCTCCCCCTTCTCTGTGATGACACTGACGCCACCACGCGGCGAATCGTAACTGATTATCTGGAACCACACGAATATACACGTTCTGTATTCCCTCAACCATCAATTAGTCATCTTCTTTAGCCTGTCTTATTTGCACCTGTAACTCATACGTGAGATGCCGTGGCCTTTGATTCGTTATTGTTTAACGAATTTGCACCAGAATAACGCCACTAAAAGAAATGACCCCCCTTTTTAAAATAAGGAGTCTTCGTAGCATATTTTATTTAACCACCAACTCTGCCTATCTAGTGGTTTTGAACGTATGGACTAGTTGTTCCTGAAATAAATAGTACACCTTTAATAATTACCTTAGAACTGTACAGTGTAAATCCCGTCTGAGTATCGTTTTAAGATTCTGCACCAATTCCAAGAAAATTAAAATTAAAATACTGTTTGAAGAAAATTTATACTTGATTATTCCTGGTATTACAAGTAGTCCATGGCTGTCATTTGAGAGGGTAATATCGAATTAGTGACGTTTACAGCTGGAATAAGGGAACGAGATCTTTAAAATACACGTGTTTAGAAGAAGGAAACTATTCTGAATGCATGCGTAGCTGATCGAGGGATATAACATTTACCACGAAGGAACCTTTCTTTCTTTCTTTCTTTTTATTTTTTGCTGTCTTATTATCCAGCTGCTTTTAATCAGAATTGCTATGAAAATCAAGTGGGACGGCTGTTTAAGTGACACACTGTCTGAACCGGCCATGCCATAGCTCTGGCTGGATTTTCACCGCGGAGACCCATTCTTGTAGTGGGCGAAATGGTTCTTCTCTGAGATCCTGAGTTCTCCGCATATACTTGTGATTCTCTCATTTATCACCTCAGTCAGGATAGTAGATGTTCGGGCAGACGTTTGGACCCAGGACCTCCCGAATATGAAGCAGAAATGCTATCCACTCGGCCGGGACGTCCGGTCGTTCGCATTCTTAATAGCATATTGATTTACGCAAGTTTATCCGGAGCGTGTTGGGACACTCATAAATCAATACCTATTCTTCCGTGACACAACTCCGGTATCCCCTCTTACACCCCCGTCCTCCACCACCCTGCTACTCAATTTTACGGCATCCGTTCATGGTCCAACTCTCTCCCCACACACTTCCTCCTCATCTGCCTTAAAGTGTTGTATTACTGAGACTGCCATACAGTCCTACGTCATATTTATTATACGATATGGCGTCCTATGCACGCATTCAAATCGAAGAATTTATTATCCATATATACACTGTACTAGTTGCCCATTCTTTTATCACCTAAAAGAGAGACTGTTGTTTCGTGCTGGCATGGGATCTGGTTCTGGCCAAACCAGAGGAAGAACATTTGAAATAATTCAAAGTGCAGGTAGGACTCGGTTTACGCCGGGGTTAGGTTCTTCAGATTTCCGGCGTAAAGTGAAGCGGCGTAAATTGAAGCAAAAATATAATGGGAACATATGTAAATACATTAGGTTCCGTTCCAAAATTTTCAGTAATCATTTTTTTCTGATAATAAATTATAGTATGGCTGTAGAACTGTATCAATTCCTCTCTTAACGGTTGAGCTCCGCTTTCAGTTGGGGTCGTTGCTACAGAACATCTCACATCCCTTATTAATAAGAGCAATAGCCTATTGCATTGATTTCACTGTTGGTGTCCTAACCGGCATTGCAGAGTCAGCTTCACTTTCCTCTGTGTCTTTTTGGACAGTTGTTCAGCTAGCTCTTCTAAATCTTCCGTTGAAGGCTCTCCGCTATGACTCTGAAGGAGCTCATTTATGTCACCAACTTCTACACCATCTAGTTTTTTTGTTTAATTAATTAAATTGTAGTCCGTAGTTTATTATTTAGTATTATAGTTTTATTACAATGTAAGTTATATTTAAATGTCGGGACCATCTGCGTCTAGGAAGTCGGGCACAGTCATGACTCCTCACCCCCCCAATCGTGATATATGAGAGGCGCAAAAGTGAACCCGGCGTAAATTGAAGCGGTGCAAACCGAGTCCTACTTGTACTTGTCCGCCAATAACTCAATCATTTATTAATACTTATGAAATTAACATCGCGATGTAGAGGCGCTGTTTGCTTATTTTTAAGTGACAGCACTTCAGAACAGTTTGCATCTCCAAGGACGTATCTTTAAAATTTACTGGCGCGTCATATATTTTGCAGAGAGCAGTTACGTGAAATTTCTACGGTTGCTGTTACAGCTGAATGCATGCATTGTTCAGTGAAGGAAGGTTGTATTCTGTCTGTAGCTAATATATTGAAAGCGGAGAACAACTGAACTAAGATGAAAAGAAATTTCTTCCGAATATGTTAGCTTTGTGGCATAGTACTCGTAATATTCAGCATACTATTTTTTCAACAAAATGTTTTTACCTCGTTTTTCGAGTTGTAAAGTACATTCATATGTTCAGTGCTGCATATTCAGCAGAAAATTAATTAAACAAATGCAATTACTTAATTAAAAATATTACCACGGGGAGTGAAAGCTGGCTTAAGTAAACAAAGCTCCATTTATATTACATAATTTGTAAATATACGTTCATATTTTAATTTCTCCCACAGGCAAATTGTTAAAAGGTAAGTTTTTCCCCCCTCATGCGTTCTAGTCGTCGTCACAATTTATCAAGTACATCATGGATGGGCTTATGGTAGGCCCTTAGATGCTTTCACAAAATGGCCATTCTGACTGAAGTACACCGTTTGCGAACCAATGCGAACAGTTGCCAATATACATGCATTAAAATATGTGACGGTCTCTGTTTTCTTACACCAACCAAGTCATGAGTATACAGACCTTCTTGCTTAGGTAGTAAAAGCGAAGCTGACTGATATTGGAATCTCTCGCTGCCGCGAGAATCTAAAATTGTCTTTACACAGTTATTGCAAAAATAAAAGGAGTCTGCTGACTATGGAGTCAGCAAACAGAACATATTTTCAATTCAATTCTTTATTATTAGTGTTCTGTATCAACAGCATGAAGGCCAATTACAGATACAGCACAGAGATGACCACACATGGTATGGATAACCCAGAGTGTATTAAGTCTACTTTGTGCTCACCTAAGTTCACGCAGATTAACAGTTAAATATTCAGAATTCAAAATAGAGGAATAAGAGGTGAAAGAACGTGCCAGGAGTTAAACAGAAGACAGCGGTTTAAAAAGGGCCATGAATTGACTTAGGAAAACCACGAACGAAAACCCCCGACGGGAGACCTGTCGAATACGAAGTGGAAGATCTAACCGCTACACCACACCGTAACGCTTGGTTATAATTTCAATAGGTATTAACATGTGAAATTAGGAACGGATTAAAATTCGCAGTTTGTAAATGCAAATGTCAGTTAAAAACTATCAACATGGGAATATTATTATCAAATAAATATTTTTGTCTATTACGTATGCAATTTTTTTTACAGATCCTAGACATCCAGCAGACAGTAAAGTGACTAGCTGCTGGCTGGACGGCGTGGGTTCAATTCCGGACAGCAGCTTTTTTCTTTGTCACCGAGACCATTTCTTCTGTGGAGAATCTTCCGTCCCCTTAAACAGTGATTAACGAAGACTTTTCCTGGGGCTAAAAGTGGATGTAGCTTGAACTGATCTCTTACCTCCATCTAGTGGTGAGTTTAAAATTACATAGTGCTTTAGCTCCATTACCCAACAGAGCAAATTCTTCCTTCTGTGCCTATTGATTTACTTGTGAATGGACTATTTATGTTCCAAATATGACTAACGTTAGCTCGTTATGGGTTTTGTGCTTCATAAAGACTCAATCCTACGGAAGGCCAAATTTTGATTGGGTCAAATTAAGTTTTCATCAGCAAAAGCTTTCTGCAAGGCACTCAATCTCACCGTCCGTAACCGAATTCTTTTTAAGGTAAGTACGTTTCATGCCACGTCTTCTTACTTGTAACAGAACGAGCCGTGACCCTAACACTAGGCGTCGCGGCGGTGAGAAGACAGACGATATGATTATGTTTTCCTGACAGAGACAGCAAGCTGGTAGCGTTCTCTATTTCCTGTGCTGGAGAGAAATGCAGACGAAATATTGGAAGCAGAGCTGTTTTGGTGCAGTATCCGCTCCATTGCGAATTGAGTTAAGGCTGTTGCTGGTCTGTACGTGTCAACTGATGGACGCCCCTCCGTGGTCTCCCCTCAGTTTGATCTCGAACGTGAAGAGGTGCTAAAAAGAAGGAGGCGTAAGCTAAAACAATTCTTTTTTACTTCGAAATGGGTTGACCTTTTCTTTATAAGGGCGACTCGAATGGAGCACTTAGAAGTTGCAAAGGAAAATTTATATAGAATCATCTCTATCCCTTTCAGTAGCTGATTTTATCTTCTACGAGCAATACCTCTCGGACAGTATCTCATTTTATGGTGGATGGATTCCAAAGATTTTTGATTATATTATAGAAAAAAAATAAACTGACAGTTTGCCTACGATCCTAATAGTTTTTTTAAGGTCTGGTAGTTCTCAAAATGAGGTACACTACAACGTACAACTTGGTAGCTGGGCCGTAGATTTCTAGTAATACACTTGAACACATTTTTAAGCATTAAAGAGACGTCTTTTTGGTCATGCAGCGAATAGATGACAGAATAATCTAGTTTTTCGTGCACATATAACAGCAGAAACGCGGGAAAATGGAATAGTTGATCTTGCTACTTACTTCCGCAAGCAGCTCTGAAACAATCGATCAGTTTCTAGGATATTACACAACTCAACATTTCGCCAACTTCAGTTTCTCCTGATCTTCTGTTGCCTGGATTACGTGGCAGTGCTCTGGACTTGCATTCGAAAGGTACCCGCTTGTACCAAATCTCATGTCCTTTTTCAATTGCCGTGGTCGTGCCAAAGAGTCCGTCCTGATCCGAGGCTTGGTTGATTTTTTCGTAACACCTATTTTTTTTTTAAAGGTGAAAGGTTGTTAGCCCTACCCCCAACCCCCAACCTGGAGGACCAGGGTATCACTCTTAGTCTAGCGCATCTCCTTAGACCTGTCCGGCTTGGGTGACCCTACCATGAGCCGAAGCTCAGGCCGGCATAGCCCTAAGGGTCATTTGAGCACGCAAGCCTCCTCACCCGGCAGATTGCCTTCGACAAGGTGGTGATACCTTCGAGAAGGGACTGTTAGGTATGCGGGGTAAAATATCTGTAGAGAGCAGTTCATATTTGACCCAGAATGTTCACTGTTTCTCGATGTATCCACTGACAGCGATATTCTTCTAAAATGTTATATCCTTCAGGGATCAGAACAGTGTATGACTGTAGAGGGTACCTTGAGGAAACTGCCGGATATGAAATAGATGGGAAGATTTACTGACATGCTCGAATTTGAAACACTGCAGATAACACCATGACAAAACTAAACATGTTATTACTACATTAAAACAGACTGTATCTAATGGTAATTGATATTTGCTACAATTTGCAAACCTTCTCTCCCCACTCCGCCCCTTGTTATGGATGATATTCTATGACATCGGTCAGTGCCGTCAGATATTACATTATATCTGGCTCGGTGCACTTCAATCATTGCTCCTTGGAATTGTCCCCTTACCATGCTCTCATGCACTTGCGAATCTATGTATATTAGCTGCTCCATCATGACATTACACCAACTCATGTCTCTCCTGTTACAGGGTTTGTCACTGATCTTCACCTACAGATACAAACCGTACCAGCTCTAAAGAGACGGAGGTTCCAGTCAACATGGGGTGAGCGACCACACAGTATCAGGAAAAATCTCATATGAGTGATTGTTGAGAGTATGAGCGGTAGACAAAGGGAATTATTTCCAAAATGGTGGACAGTAAACCTCCACTGAGACGGTGAGCTCACGAACACATCCGAATAAAGTACAATTAGGAAGATAAATTTACTATAAGCTTTGATAATGTACAACAAGCAATAACCAAATGCTCCCCACCCGATTCCTGCCAGACCCGGTGTCTGACGGGGTCTGTCTCTGACGTACCCTCTCACTGACGGACACGGACTCTGCTGTACACAGTCTATAGACCATCCAATCTCTCTTTGACCAAGTTCCTTACGCGCCGTCGTTGCAAGGAACGCTTCCGGCGGAGATCGGTTCAGGCATAGACGTCCGGCAGAGACATTGTGAGGCAGAGAACGCGTCCGGCCGAGACATAGTGAGGAAGAGACTAAGGTAGAGAGCTGATGAGACTGTCAACGAGTCATGCAGAGACCTGCTGTGGTACTATCTTACTGACGCACAAGGATCTGCTGTGCACAGTGTCTAAGCCATCCGATCTCTCTTTGACCGTCTTTCTTACGCGTCGTCGTTGCAAGGAACGCTTCCGGCGGATACCGGTTCAGGCATAGACGTCAGCCAGAGACAGTGTGAGGCAGAGAACGCGTCCGGCCGAGACATAGTGAGGAAGAGACTAAGGTAGAGAGCTGATGAGACTGTCAACGAGTCATGCAGAGACTTGCTGTGGTGGAGACGAATTCTAGCAGGAAGATTTTCAATTGAGGTTCAAGTGAGGCAAATTCTGAAAATTTTTCAAACTTTTCGAAAAATAAAAAAATCCTGCAAATGTCTAAACCGCGCACAAAACCAAAATTTTTTGAAAAAGTTTCAATTTTGTTTGATAATTATTTAATTTTTAGTTTTGTACGCCATTTGAAAGATTTCAAGCATTTTTCAATTTTTTGAAAAATTTGAAAATTTCCTTCAAAATTATCCCCACAGGTACCTGCCAGACACGTTTTCTTTTCTAGCCTGTCTCTGACATACCATCTCAATGACGCATAGGGACTCTGATGTGCACAGCCTCTAGGCCACCCGGTCTCTCTTTGACACGTTCCTTACGCGTCGTCGTTGCAAGGAACGCTTCCGGGGATCGGTTCAGGCATAGACGTCCGCGAGAGACAGTGTGAGGCAGAGAACGCGTCCGACTGAGACGTAGTGACAAAGAGAGTGAGTAAGGCAGAGAGTTATTGAGGCTGTTAACGAGTCATGCAGAGACTTGCTGTGGTTGAGACGAATTCTAGCAGGAAGATGTTCTAGTGAGTTTCTGGTGAGGCGAATTTTGAAGATTTTTGAAAATTTTCGAAAAATCAAAAAATGATGGAAAACGTCTGAAACGCGCACACAACCAAAAATTTTCAAAAAATTATCAAAATTTTTTTTGTTAATTTTTCATTTTTTTTTAGTTTTGTGCGCCATTTGAAAGATTTGCAGCATTTTTCGATTTTTTGAAAATTTTGAAAATTTCCTTCAAAATCATCCCCTCCCGATACCTGCCAGACACGTTTTCTTTCGTGGCCTCTATCTGACATACCATCTCAATGACGCACAGGGACACTGCTGTGCACAGCCACTAGGCCACCCGGTCTCTCTTTGACCACGTTCCTTACGCGCCGGCGTTGAAAGGAACGATTCCGGCGGAGATCGGTTTAGGCATAGACGTCAGCCAGAGACAGTGTGAGGCAGAGAAAGCGTCCGACTGAGACGTAGTGACAAAGAGACTAAGGCAGGGAGTTGGTGAGGCTGTCAACGAGTCATGCAGAGATTGCTGTGGTTTAGACGAATTCTAGCAGGTAGATGTTCTAGTGAGTTTCGGGTGAGGCGAATTTTGAAAATTTCCAAAAATCAAAAAATGCTGGAAAACGTCTGAAACGCGCACAAATCCAAAACTTTTTCAAAAATGTTAAAAAATATTTTTTTTGATAATTTTTCAAACTTTTTTGTTTTGTGCGCCATTTGAAAGATTTGCAGCATTTTTCGATTTTTTGAAAATTTTCTTCAAAATCATCCCCTCCCGATACCTGAAAAACACGTTTTCTTTCGTGAACTTTCTCTGACATACCATCTCAATGACGCACAGGGACTCTGCTGTGCACAGCCACTAGGCCACCCGGTCTCTCTTTGACCACGTTCCTTACGCTCCGGCGTTGCACGGAACGCTTCTGGCGGAGATCGGTTCAGGAATAGACGTCAGAGACAGTGTGAGGCAGAGAACGCGTCCGACTGAGACGTAGTGACAAAGAGAGTGAGTAAGGCAGAGAGTTATTGAGGCTGTTAACGAGTCATGCAGAGACTTGCTGTGGTTGAGACGAATTCTAGCAGGAAGATGTTCTAGTGAGTTTCTGGTGAGGCGAATTTTGAAGATTTTTGAAAATTTTCGAAAAATCAAAAAATGATGGAAAACGTCTGAAACGCGCACACAACCAAAAATTTTCAAAAAATTATCAAAATTTTTTTTGTTAATTTTTCATTTTTTTTTAGTTTTGTGCGCCATTTGAAAGATTTGCAGCATTTTTCGATTTTTTGAAAATTTTGAAAATTTCCTTCAAAATCATCCCCTCCCGATACCTGCCAGACACGTTTTCTTTCGTGGCCTCTATCTGACATACCATCTCAATGACGCACAGGGACTCTGCTGTGCACAGCCTCTAGGCCACCCGGTCTCTCTTTGACACGTTCCTTACGCGACGTCGTTGCAAGGAACGCTTCTGGCGGAGATCGGTTCAGGCATAGACGTCAGCCAGAGACAGTGTGAGGCAGAGAAAGCGTCCGACTGAGACGTAGTGACAAAGAGACTAAGGCAGGGAGTTGGTGAGGCTGTCAACGAGTCATGCAGAGATTGCTGTGGTTTAGACGAATTCTAGCAGGTAGATGTTCTAGTGAGTTTCGGGTGAGGCGAATTTTGAAAATTTCCAAAAATCAAAAAATGCTGGAAAACGTCTGAAACGCGCACAAATCCAAAACTTTTTCAAAAATGTTAAAAAATATTTTTTTTTATAATTTTTCAAACTTTTTTGTTTTGTGCGCCATTTGAAAGATTTGCAGCATTTTTCGATTTTTTGAAAATTTTCTTCAAAATCATCCCCTCCCGATACCTGCCAGACACGTTTTCTTTCGTGGCCTCTATCTGACATACCATCTCAATGACGCACAGGGACTCTGCTGTGCACAGCCACTAGGCCACCCGGTCTCTCTTTGACCACGTTCCTTACGCGCCGGCGTTGAAAGGAACGATTCCGGCGGAGATCGGTTTAGGCATAGACGTCAGCCAGAGACAGTGTGAGGCAGAGAAAGCGTCCGACTGAGACGTAGTGACAAAGAGACTAAGGCAGGGAGTTGGTGAGGCTGTCAACGAGTCATGCAGAGACTTGCTGTGGTTGAGACGAATTTTAGCAGGAAGATGTTCTAGTGAGTTTCGGGTGAGGCGAAATTTGAAAATTTTTGAAAATTTTCGCAAAATCAAAAAATGCTTGAAAACGTATAAAACTCGCAAAAAACTAAATTTTTTTGAAAAATTTTAAAAAATAATTTTTCAAATTTTTTTAGTTTTGTGCGCCATTTGAAAGATTTGCAGCATTTTTCGATTTTTTGAAAATTTTCTTCAAAATCATCCCCTCCCGATACCTGAAAAACACGTTTTCTTTCGTGAACTTTCTCTGACATACCATCTCAATGACGCACAGGGACTCTGCTGTGCACAGCCACTAGGCCACCCGGTCTCTCTTTGACCACGTTCCTTACGCTCCGGCGTTGCACGGAACGCTTCTGGCGGAGATCGGTTCAGGAATAGACGTCAGAGACAGTGTGAGGCAGAGAACGCGTCCGACTGAGACGTAGTGACAAAGAGACTAAGGCAGGGAGTTGGTGAGGCTGTCAACGAGTCATGCAGAGACTTGCTGTGGTTGAGACGAATTTTAGCAGGAAGATGTTCTAGTGAGTTTCGGGTGAGGCGAAATTTGAAAATTTTTGAAAATTTTCGCAAAATCAAAAAATGCTTGAAAACGTATAAAACTCGCAAAAAACTAAATTTTTTTGAAAAATTTTAAAAAATAATTTTTCAAATTTTTTTAGTTTTGTGCGCCATTTGAAAGATTTGCAGCATTTTTCGATTTTTTTAAAATTTCCTTCAAAATCATCCCCTCCCGATACCTGCCAGACACGTTTTCTTTTGTGGCCTTTCTCTGACATACCATCTCAATGACGCACAGGGACTCTGCTGTGCACAGCCTCTAGGCCACCCGGTCTCTCTTTGACACGTTCCTTACGCGACGTCGTTGCAAGGAACGCTTCTGGCGGAGATCGGTTCAGGCATAGACGTCAGCCAGAGACAGTGTGAGGCAGAGAACGCGTCCGACTGAGACGTAGTGACAAAGACACTGAGTAAGGCAGAGAGCTGTTGAGGCTGTCAACGAGTCATGCAGAGATTGCTGTGGTTGAGACGAATTCTAGCAGGTAGATGTTCTAGTGAGTTTCGGGTGAGGCGAATTTTGAAAATTTTTGAAATTTTTCGAAAAATAAAAAATGCTGGAAAACGTCTGAAACGCTCACAAAACCAAAAATGTTTGAGAAATTTTAAAAAATAATTTTTTTGATAATTTTTCAATTTTTTTTTAGTTTTGTGCGCCATTTGAAATATTTGCAGCATTTTTCGATTTTTTGAAAATTTTGAAAATTTCCTTCAAAATCATCCCCCTCCCGATACCTGCCAGACAAGTTTTCTTTCGTGGCCTTTCTCTGACATACCATCTCAAAGACGCACAGGGACTCTGCTGTGCACACACTCTAGGCCACCCGGTATCTCTTTGACACGTTCCTTACGCGACGTCGTTGCAAGGAACGCTTCCGGCGGAGATCGGTTTAGGCATAGACGTCCTCGAGAGAGTGTGAGGCGGAGAACGCGTCCGACTGAGACGTAGTGAAAAAGAGACTGAGTAAGGCAGAGAGCAGGTGAGGCTGTCAATTAGGCCACCCGGTCTCTCTTTGACACGTTCCTTACGCGACGTCATTGCAAGGAACGCTTCCGGCGGAGATCGGTTTAGGCATAGACGTCCTCGAGAGAGTGTGACTCGGAGAACGCGTCCGACTGAGACTTAGTCACAAAGAGACTGAGTAAAGCAGAGAGTTTTCGAAAAATCAAAAAGTGCTGCAGAACGTCTGAAACGCGCACAGAACCAAACGATTTTGAAGAATTTTAAAAAATAATTTTTTTGATAATTTTTCACCTTTTTTTAGTTTTGTGCGCCATTTGGAAGATTTGCAGCATTTTTCGATTTTTTGAAAATTCCCTTCAAAATCATCCCCTCCCGATATCTGCCAGACACGTTTCCTTTCGTGGCCTGTCCCTGACATACCATGTCAATGACGCACAGGGAATCTGCTGTCCACAGCCTCTAGGATACCCGGTCATGAATCAAGATGACTTAGTGGGAGAGTCAAGAATTAAGTGCAGTCACCAGGTAGAGGAGGATATTGATATATTACATTACTATTCTGGAGATCCACAGCATTTTATTTACTTATTTGTGGTTTAACAGTAATGCCAACATCTCAGATTAAAGTGCCAAATTATAGGGTGACAATTGAATGAATTTGAAGAAATGTGGAAAAAAGAGGTGATCACTTAATTTAAGGTTGTAACCTGACATTTTCCTGAAGGGAGCAAAGAAGAGCACAAAAGCGTCAGTCGAGACAGCCAGTCTCTGGACTCATATTTGAGCCTGGGACCTCCCAAATAGGAAGCAAGAATGCTAGCCACTTGACTATGATATTTGGCAAAAGATACACACAACAATAGAGATTAAAGGAATACTGAAGAGAAGGCTGTGAGAAGTGACGGTTATGATATCTCTTACAAACAACAGAAAATCAAGACCTGCAACAGTGAAACAAAAAGAGTTTATTCACCCAACTCCATAACCTAAAAAACTGTATATATAAAAGAAACTGCAATGGAATGTTATTTAATATATGCTTGGATTAACCAAGTTGCTAATCATGTATCCACTGATCACTTTTAACAAAACGTATCATTACCTATGAAACCCAACACTCTATTTTGCCATATACAATGTGATACTCCAGTATTTCAAAATAATACAATACCTTAGTAGTCACATCATAAAAACAAACAATTTAGCTGTCTTCTTTCATATTAAAACTATTCAGTAGTGATACTTGAAGCCTGTAACATTAATAAAATAGAAATTACCTTCAGGGAAAATGCCACTACAAACAAATTTCCAAAGTACCTTTAACTGGGGGGAAAAAAGCACATTTTGTGGAATAATAATAATAATAATAAAAGTTTTCTGATGTAACACAAAATAAAAATAAAGAATCATTCATTGTGTACAAGATAAATCGAAGCACAGTATTCTTAATGACGTTCTAGTTGCCATACATATCAGTCTTGAATTTAGTAGGAAACTATTCCATGCAGTACAAATTTTTAGTAAGTTCCACTCCAACATGACACCAAATCCAAACACAAACACCTCAAGATATCAGCCTAAATAATATTGCCATTTTGAGATGGTAATTTCTATCACATGGCTCTGAATTAAGGTGGATATACACATTCATCTTCTAACCAAGGTGGTAATTTTTTTGCACTGTTTATACACACAGCTCAGTAAAGCCCAAATGTTAAAATGAATTACACCGAGTGAAAATGGTAAGAGAATTTGGTGGCATGACTGATCCAGACAATTAAATGAAAACTGAAATTAAGTACAAAACATGTGCAAACAAAACCTAACAGATATTCTGACCACTGAAACAGAATCGTTTCACTGTGGCAGGATAAGATTCAAGAGGACATCATACTACCCCACTATAGTGACTTCATACAAACAGTTGAATTACTTAATATTGTTTCATTTGTGCCTCTAGTTCAACAGTCATGGCTCCACATGTTTATATTTTTGTCACATTATAAAGTTAGGAATCTGAACCTACTCTATGGGGCCCTGAAAAGTGCTATTCCTATCCATTCATGGTGTGCTGATCACATCAGCTTGAACCAGGCACCGGCTATTCCCTCTCCTGCAAATCTGATTAGATCACACTTGCCTTTCTGACAACTGTACAGATCTTTCTTCTAAGACTCACTGTCCCCTCCCTATTTCTACCATTCTCACCAATCCTTGATCACATAGGGTCTCACCTTCACCACATCCCATGCTGTTGCCCTAAATTAAGAGAGCACACCTGATGAGACCATAAAAGAGCTGTTTCTACCCATTCACAATTCACTGATCCTATTGTCCTGAGGCTGCCACATGGTTCCTACCCTCTCCCATGAGTCTAGAGGGACAACACTTGTGTCTATATATCATCCAACTGTTCCCATTCTACATACTTTCACCCGAAGGTGGCGGGAGCATGTTCATCTGAAACATCAGCAACAGCCCACATCCACATGGTGCCAGCACCCGAAGCAGGATCAGTATTAACAATGAATCACTGACAATGCTTAAAATCAGTTATAGTTATAGTTATAATCTTCCTAATTATTATTCCACTGAAGATTAATGGCAAAGCTACTAATACAAACACGATAATTTTGTAATAATAAATACTATCCTGTACGTGCATGATGTTCTTCATGCACATGACAGGAGATTGGCACATGCAAGCATCTGACAAAACCTTGGTCTAATGCTACATTATCTGATACAGGGAAAATACAACATGGTACAATGGGAATAACTTGAGCGGTCTAATGCTACATTATCTGATACAGGTAAAATACAACATGGTACAGTGGGAATAACTTGAGAAATAAGCAATACACTCAAATATTATGGAGACAGAGTACACCAAAAAAAGGAAAAACACTTATAGAAGCCAACAATACATACCAACTCTAACATATGCAGCTCAAACATGATATGAACCATGAAGAGTGCTATATGAGATTTCAAGATAAAATACTGGAGTAAAACCTTTAAAGATGACAGAGACACAATTTGGACATTTTAGATATGGAAATAAAATCAAGATGACTTAGTGGGAGAGTCAAGAATTAAGTGCAGTCACCAGGGAGAGGAGGATATTGATATATTACATTACTATTCTGGAGATCCACAGCATTTTATTTACTTATTTGTGGTTTAACAGTAATGCCAACATCTCAGATTAAAGTGCCAAATTATAGGGTGACAATTGAATGAATTTGAAGAAATGTGGAAAAAAGAGGTGATCACTTAATTTAAGGTTGTAACCTGACATTTTCCTGAAGGGAGCAAAGAAGAGCACAAAAGCGTCAGTCGAGACAGCCAGTCTCTGGACTCATATTTGAGCCTGGGACCTCCCAAATAGGAAGCAAGAATGCTAGCCACTTGACTATGATATTTGGCAAAAGATACACACAACAATAGAGATTAAAGGAATACTGAAGAGAAGGCTGTGAGAAGTGACGGTTATGATATCTCTTACAAACAACAGAAAATCAAGACCTGCAACAGTGAAACAAAAAGAGTTTATTCACCCAACTCCATAACCTAAAAAACTGTATATATAAAAGAAACTGCAATGGAATGTTATTTAATATATGCTTGGATTAACCAAGTTGCTAATCATGTATCCACTGATCACTTTTAACAAAAGGTATCATTACCTATGAAACCCAACACTCTATTTTGCCATATACAATGTGATACTCCAGTATTTCAAAATAATACAATACCTTAGTAGTAAAACACAATGATATGTCACAAATAGCATAATTTTGAACATGTTACATTTGCTTCAATACAAACTGGAGGGACACACTTCAGGCTTTTATTCAAGGCATGGATATTTATCTAGCTACACTCAAAAAAATGTATACAGTACTATTTGTATGAAACTGAACTGTTACTTTCCATTATTTATTGTATTAATAAAGCTAAATATAATACCTAATATGCATAATGAACTAAATAGCTTTTTACATTAAGAACTGTAATATATGTGTGGTTACAAACTCAGTATCAGAAAGATTCTACTTTTTAAATCCGCTAATTCAGTGCCTGTTTATATCTTTAATATTAATATTAAAGTACATACAAGCTGAATATCACAATGTACATGTAAGTCAGCCCGCTTGCCTAGTATTCTGGAGGTCCTGGAACTGAAACATAACTTAGGGACTGGTTATCCTGCAGATTGTTTTTCTCTATTAGTTCTCCTCATACTACCCAGGTAAATGCAGAAATACCTTAAATAGGCCACAGCCACTTCCTCACATGTCCTAAATTCATCATTCATAATCATGCTGCCAACTGATAGTAAGTAGCCCATGCACTTGACAAAACTTAATTAATCAAAAAATATATACTTAAATTGAAGACAATTTTAGGACTTAGTACATTGTTAACATTTTATTTTCATAATTGAATTTCCCAAATTTTGAATTTCTTAATCATACTATAGAATTTTCAGGTAAATATCCTCCAAGTGTTTTGAAGTATAAGAACAAGCTGTTATGATTGCATGAATGTTTGTGGATATTAAAAACTGATATTTAGGAGTGTTTTGATGTTTAAATCTTCCACATGATTCATATGAAGGTGACTGTTTTCTGGCATGTTGTTCCATTGTGTAGTCTTGTACAAACTGTCCGACATTTCAAAGGCGCTTAGTGCCACCATCTTCATGACCTGATGATGGAGGCAGTAAGCACCTCTGAAATGTCAGTCAGTATCTACAAGACTATATGGTGCAACATCTCACAAGACATTCATTCATCTTCAAACTCATTGCTATGAAATCCTGAAATCTCAAGGTTCACATGAAACTCTGCAGCCATTCATGCACAAAAAAATCAAACTTCTAAATGATTTTAAACAGATCATTGGGGTTTAACAAGCCCTAGAAAAGATAAACAGAGTTAATGTGTGCATTACTTATCTATGCTGTATTAACTAATGATGTAATTGATGGCAATAACATTTTAACAAGGACTGAATATAAATAGGAATAATGGAATTAACAGCAGGGGAAATAAAAAAACTCTGAGAAAACCTGCCCCAATTTCAGCTTCACCAGCAGGACGTGTCTCAAACTGAGTCTGCTTTATGAGAAGAAACACAAGGAATCACCATGTAAGTATATTCATACATTCATCAGGGAATCCTTTTGTGAAAACAAATCAGGAATTATATGCAGAGCATAATAATTCTGGCTTTTTGCAGGATTTGATATCTGACCTTTGCAAATGGTGCCAGTGACATCAAAGTTGGGGATGCTCCATCTGGTTACATGGGTACTAGCATGTAAACATGATGACATCATCATACTGATTCTCCCACATGGTCACATAAGCACCTGGCTGGTTCAGGATTTCCCCAGCCAGTCACTTTCTTGTACAGAAATGCATGTAGGTAGATCTTTATATGAACTACCCACTGTTATCCGATTTAAGCATAACAACATGTCAACAGATTTTAATAAAATTCTCAAATATCAAGCATGATGAAAACTCATTCAGTGGTTCTTGGCTTGTCACATGCAGGCAGACAGACAGACAGCAAAGCTAACAGGCACATTTTTGCAACTTTTGGATGTAAATGCATCTAAAAATCTAAAAGCTAGAAAACAAATAAAGATGGCGAAAACCTACACATTAATTAACACAGTCCTTACTACTATGGACTACAAATGAACAATGAAGTGTTATCAGCGAACACCAATGACAATTCAGTCTCATGATTAAAAGAGAGAGAAAAAACAGGGTTTCATTATTCCTTTAGTTACAGCTCATTATCTGTTATGAGCTAGAGAAATAGTAAAGAGTATTATGTATGTCTAGGTGTTTTTACATATTTACACATTAAGATATACTTAAACTTTCATCATTGTCAAAACTAGAAAAAAAATCATACTGTTTCAAAATGAATAAAATTTATGTCCCACAAAGGTTTTAAGTACCATCATCATATTGTAATAAAGTAGAATCAGTCTAAATCAGCAGTTATAAATCACACATTTGTTATGACTGCATTAAGTTTAACCTTTAATATATGAAAATTTAAATTTCCTAACACAACCTCACAACCAGAGTAAATTGGGATTTAAATGCTTTAAAGAGCAGAAAATCATAAAATAAGTTAATATATTAAAAGAAATTTTTAACCTAGAATCATCAAATCAACTTTCCCCATACCAAGCTTTAAAACAATCAGACCAGCAGCTTAGTGAACAGGCCTCTTCAATTTTGTTCCCCTTCTTTATATTCTTTGAAATGTTTTAAAACAGATGATTTGGAGTGACAGATATTTCTTAACAAACTGTACCACAGCTTTAGAATTACATAAACTTTGTGTGTTTGTGTCACTTTGGCTCTGAGAACTTTAGAGAAATGATTCAGAGGGAAAGACCATCAGAACATGGTACTCTGTCACCTCCTATACAGAGACACCAATGGGACAAAATATACATCACAAGAAAGAAAGATCTAGTTCTATTTGTGTCAATTACTCACAGAACAAATAAACTATAAAAAGAAATAAATAAAACGTTCTAATATTGAGCCAAGCACGTGGTAACAATTTTGACTTGTACACAGATGGTACCCAGTCTGAATCTCGACCATGGTACAGACTATACTGACCGAGGATGTTTGTGGTTTCCCTCAGTACTCCAGGTGAATAAGTGGGTAATACCTTGAAAGAAACCATTACCACTTCCTCCACAGTCCTTTCAAATTCGCTGATGTCACTATACAGAAAATACACTTGTGCATAATGGCCCACACTATAACAGCTTTCTAGGACTTCTTACAGAAGACGAATTTTCTTAAGATGGCTGTCTTGTGGGTTATTGCACCACGTAGTCTCGTAGAAGTTTACCAACATTTCAGAGGTCCTTGCCACCTCCATCATTAGGGTGATGAAACTACACAGTGCAACAACCCCGAAGATAGCAATCTTCAGACTCACAGCCATGAAAACCTCAAATCCTAATGCGGATTTTCTTGAAACTGAGATTTCTCCAATTAACTGAATAAATTAGCATTATAACACAAGATGAAAATGATGACAAGCTGGGGAAAATGATGATGATAATAATGTCAGTGATAAGCATGGTAAATATAACACCTGGCTGAACTTTTAGCAGGGGTCAAGGTCATTTAATAACAGAGTATTTAGATAATACATTTCGAAGGAACAATAAACAGTTTGGGAGACAGATCTATGAAACTGTGTAACACAAATGGATAATTTATGACCTGAAAGTCAACAATGAAAACTACACATGGAATTATGACATGAGAGTTGACAATGACAATGTGAATAGAAACAGTGACAGATGTACTAGAAGGGTTCACATACATTTTTTATGGATAATTTATCACCCTCTCTTGATTTATGTAACAATATACATAGCAGTAAAACACGTAGTTGTGGTCCTGCAAAACATATTATTGAACGCAAACACCACAGTATCTTCAAGGAAAGGTATTCAAATTTAAACAGGGTGAAAAATAGACAGGGGTGAGGAGTGATTTGATTGAAGTGTATTAAGAAGAAATGAAGTTAGGTGTCATGTCGCCTGTCTGGAAAGAGCAATAAAGTACAGAATGCTCTGTACTTTAGCAATGTGACACAACCTTTTCTCATAACATACGCAACTTCTCAGAAAGACGAATATTTTTCCAAAAAAAAGACAGTTTCCTAAGCTCATGAATATTTTAAATGCAGCAGGAGAATAAACTTAATTCCTTTGAGTATATACAAAAAGTCATGCCACTGGTACCCCTACAGGGCACTAATATGTTGATATATAAATAACAAGGAAAAGGGAGTGTGGATTTTATGAAAGGGGGTGATGATATAAACAGGGGTATCTTTGATAAGTCTTTAGATATTTTTATCTGATTTTGACATTTTGTGGGACAACAAAGAAGGAACAGCTTCTTGGAAAGAACTATCTTAAATATCCACAGCAGGAGAGTTAGTAAGAAAAACCATTCCTTAACATGGATGGTTCAATTATAAATGAATCTCTGACAATCTATAATGCCTTACAAACATTTTACACACACAAAATGCTGTTTGTTTGAGTGAATAAACGTTTTAATAACATAATGACTTAGCAGGACTATATAGTTCTTTTCAGTCAACAACAAAACTTGTATGGGACATTCATGTCCTTTGTGGCTCTTGAAGGATAAAGTAATATTTTCATATGAATGTTCCAAAGTAAATAAGTATCTTCAGTCTCTGGATAGGTAAAACATATTCAGAAACAAAGATATTCAGGGTATGCAAAACAATACTAAGGTTGGGATCATCTTAAATCTGGTTATTTCAGACTGAAATAGGTGAAATAGCTGGTAGTGCAAGAATCACTTGCCTAAACATCATCAATTTATGATCCACGAAGTTGTTCATAAACCTGGAACCTAACATTTCAATTCTTGCAAAAGTAATCACAATGAGGATGTGCTGATGAAAACAAAAACCACAATGGCCCTACCACAAGTGAACGTACTGTTTAGTCTGTAGCCCATCACTTCACGTATTAGCACCATGCTCCTACAAAGTACTCAACCCCCATGTCAAATCTGTATTCTGTTACATCTCTAACTGTGTTGTTCTAACGTATTGTTACAGTAATCTGATTGGTCACTAAAGGTAGATACATTTCATCACAAACAGAATCAAAGTTTACAACATAAACATCACATTAATTCCAAATGTGGGGTATAAAAATTATGATATTTAAATTAAACAAGTATGTGTTCCTGATTTTCACTGTGGTGCTCAAATTGTCAGTAACATACAGAAATTAATAGTGAAGAGCACTTTGAATGCCCTCCCCTCCTGCCACTGATACCATGAGTGCAACACATAAGTTGACTGCCATTTTCCGGGGCATAACTCACTACAAATCTATGCACCAAGGGTCTTCTTGTTCCTTTCTCATTACATGTTTCTACTGTACATGAATTCTGAATGATATGCATTACATGCATACAAAAGTATATCTTCCTGGACATATATTGTGTGTTTCAACTAAAGCAGCAATTTTAGTTATTGGATAAGACTTTATTGTACAGTATTTTGTATAAAGAATAACTCAAGCATTGAATTCAAAATTTTCATAAGTAATAATTGGTTCACAGCATACATATCACCTAAAGTGTTTATCTATTTTAAATCCTTCAAGTTTAGAAAATAAATACGGAAATACCTTGCAAGACTTTTTTGACAACTGAGTGCATAGTGAATGGGGAAAGAATATACTGACAAAAATCCATATTCTTTATAAAACATTAACCAACGCAATAAATACCACAAAGTAACAAAATTTTTGAAAACCTGATTTTGTATGACCAACATAACTGATTTTGGTCATACCAAAATAACTTCAAACGAAATGACACTTAAAATCCAAGCAGTTCTGCAGGACTAAAGTATACTGTATTGTCACTACATTTTCTAGCGCAAACCCTCTTTACACTCAATTCAAGCACTAATTTGGTAGACACTTCCAAGTCTGACAAATGCAAATAAAATCCTATCTCATCTTCTAAATATTGTAGGAATTCTATGTAACAATAAACAGGGACACAGTTCTAGTAACATTCCACATCTCTCTGCACTGAAAGAATCAATATTATTCATATGAAAACATCTGTATTACAGTTCCATGTGTAAACATTTAACAATATTTGTTATTGCAATTTCACATGTTGATACCGAGTTATCAAATACAAAATGCTACAAACTTGAAGAATACAGTTATGGAAAAATTTCATACAAAGAATGACTACAAAGGGTCCAGACAATATTAACCCTAACAAGGATTTCTAAATAATAATGTGCTGCAGATTCCACAAAGAAGTAGGAAGTACGTTAAATCAGAAAAAATGGATTTGATTACCACCTTATTTATAATTTACTTGGCCTGGTTCTGCATTTTTATTTTTATTTAACAAATGCTATTTTCCATATCTTGAATAGTTGCTGTTCTATATTAATAATCATTACAGATCTGTCACAATACTAATTTCAGTCTGATCTGCAAACAGGTTCAGTATTCAGAAATGCCATCTGAGACAAAATCTCAGTACAGTGCAATAGAATGATATGTAAAATAATTACCAATATTTTATTACCTGCAATTAGCAACACTAAAGTTATGTGAAAATTCCACTGCACAGGAACAATGATTGTAATTTAAAATCATACTACATAACATATGTGAAAAGTAGTGTTGTATGGCACAGTAACAACAATGCACTACTCTTACACAGGAATGTTATCATAAAGAAGTGAAACTGTGCACATCTTATAAATATTTTGAAATCTGTTCACCAGTTGGCTTCATCTGTTAAACTGAGGAAATTGAAGTACATGAGAAAGTTCAGTCACTGCTGCAAATACCATCAGTTACATAAACCTTACTTACACTGAATCATTACCAATGATTCCATTTGGAAAAGGTTATTTTTTTGGATATGAGCCTAAAATCTTGGTTAAACAGACAACTTACCTAAAAGTCCAAAAATATTTGGATACTTTATCAGTACATCTCTGAAAAGTGTCCTCTACCTTCCCACCTAACGGACATACAATAAAGACCTTCATATTTCAATCTGTACTGTCAAATTAAACAGAATTAAAGATAATATTTTTTGTGTTGTCCCCAAAGATAAAAATGCCATGAATATGTATGATCAATCTAAATGATATTAGCACTTGTTGTAATTCTTTTTACTGTATATCTAATTAATTATGAAGGTTAAAACCACATGAGTAACTTATTTTCAATGTGAACTAAGATTCAGTGCCAAATTTTTATTGTGATATTGACTGAACTGATTGAATATCCTGATAACTGAGCTGCCTCCTTAAATTTTTAGCCAGATATGGGTTTCTTCATAAAGGCAAGAACATTTAGCATAAAAGTATACTATACATTTCATACATTTATACGGCTTACCGCTATCATTTACATACCACTATAATATCAATAAAAAATATTAATTCGTTGCAGAATCTTTGTGTAATGTACAAAAAAAAGTCACCAAGTCTAGGTAGAGTATTGAGTGTATAAGATGTCAAGGCATTAATGCCAATATTAAATTACTTTTTAAACAATATGTATTATGCAAGACAACCATATATATGAAAACAGAGATGAAAACATATAAGGGCCCATATACTATATATTACACGATGCACTATAAAAATGTTAAACAGTGCAATATGGAAGAACAAGCACTTGCACTTGTAGGCAAATCCACCAATCCCACTATCTGCATCAATCTTGCAATATGGAAGAACAAGCACTTGCACACCTACACACCTACACACATAACCTATGCGCTGGAACAAATGTATCGTCCACTTATAAACCACTGCAAGAAAGTTAAGATGTGTTTATCAGGCCATAAAAAATCAACCTTTCAATTTCCAGCCACATACTGCATACATAAAACATATTATGAAGCAGTCAGACCATAATGACTGAATTTAGTGAATCAGCATCACATATCTTAGGTTAAGTTTGAAACCACATATGCATTTTGAAGATGGGTACATTTACAGTTTGGAATTTTAGGAAACCATACTGAAGGGAGTATTAGATTGGCAAGAGTAAAAGAACATAGCCATTCCACATTCAGGAATGAACCTGGATATGCAAGTACTTGCAAAGATAACACCTAGGTATCAATCTGAGGTAGGCTGTATAATTTCCACTCACCTATGGAATAAACTGTTAGCTTTTTGCCCCTAGCAACACAGAAATCGCAATTTATGTCTTACTTACTTTAATATTCTCTTTAAAACTTAAATGAGATGTGAAATCCAAAATGTAAGTTATTTCTTTCAAATAAATATGCATTCTTAATTTAAAGCAATGACAAATCCCACATAAATGTTAAAAAGTTTGTTCCTATCTTTTATTACCTTGTCTGAGATTTTAAAATATGAGTTTGTATACAAAATCCTCATGTTCAATCCTGCATTGAATATATCAGGGTTTCTCAATTAAGAGATAAGGACTTTAATTCTCTCAAAAGCAGACACACACACACTCCATAAGCAGGAGATAACACTTCTTGGTGAGGAAAGTGGATCTGCAAATACTGGTATCCTTTAATAGCTAGGAGTTTCAAAACAGTGACTCCAAAATCAAACATATGTTTCCAAGTAAACTACAAAATCATCCATCATATTAATTTTAAGTGTAGTTTAACTTACTACACACAATCAGTGATGAAAGATAAGGTACAGTAACTCACAAATGAGCTCTAGTTTGGTGCGTAGTTGTTGATACAAAGTGATGTCATCTTGGCATGTTAGTCTGTATTACTAAGCAAAGTATGTCCATCCCTCTTGCACCATAGAGAATCGGTAATGCTCATTTATCATCAAAGCCTGTCACAGGAAGTAATGTGGTGGGCGAACAGTGAATCCCATATGTGGGTGTCGTGGTGGAAACTGTGATCCCATGAGTCTCTGCTGTTGCTGTAGTGCTGCCAATCCTCCCCCACGTGGGTCGCCGGGGTACATTGCATATGTAGGTAGCATGTGTGGTCCCTGTCAGATAGAAGTTCATTAGACATCAGAACAAAACCCACAAATATAAAACATATCTTGGATGTAACAGCTATTATCACATCCAACAAATTATGAAAAAAACATTCAGGTTTGTATCAATGATGAAATATTGAAACTATTGCACAGTTCAGAATGCACCTACTGAACTAATGTTTTCCTAGCCTACTTAAAAATAGTGGAAACTTAAGTTTTTTCATTAAATTTAGGACTTGGTGGTGGGGGGGGGGGGGGGGGGGGGGGGCAAGAAGAAAACCCAGATTGATAATAAAACAATTCTTATGATTCATGTTACTGTTAAAATACAGAAGATGTAAATGGTAGACAGCTGAGGTATAGCTTTCCTATCCAGAAAAATAACTTTCTTATCAAATGTTGCTGCCAACCAAAACTTTTGTTCAGTAAATTTTAAATGATTCTGCATCTATGTTGTTTGACTAGATGTTAATGTTATACTTTCTCTGTAAAAGGAATATGGTTGTACATGATACAAACTTTCATAGAGAATATTATCACGTCTAATCACATTTTACACAACTCATATTTATGCAGTTAAATACACCTGAATACTGACAGGAAGGACTACTTTCTGAAACTATAAGATGGTTACTGAATTTTACTGCAGTAATTCCTACACTACAGTATAGCTTCCTTACAACCATGTCTCATGAACTATGGTTAACAAAATATAAGTACACATTCATCTTGCTATAACTGAATCTCATATCACTACAATTACAATTTAAACCCTTTTATATTTCTTTCATATCTTTGTGAATGCAATTTTGTTGTTACTGTCTTTCCCAAATATTCAACATTTGCCACATCTTCAAAGGACTTTTTTTTGTTACCTTCATACTATGATTTTTCCCAGTAGTCTGGTGAAGAGACAGAAGACGTATTTCATCTATTCTACAACATCCTTACCATCATCTACTAAAGCAAGTGTTTTTCTTTATGATATTTATATGCTCACTCAATAAATTAAAATTATCAGCATAGACCAGAAGTTGATGTGTCCCACCAAATTAAAGACCATATTTGTTTGCTGGTACCCTCTTCATGATATACTTTTGTTCTGTTTCAAACTCATTAATTTTATCTTTAAAATATTTTCTTTATTTTTCTGAACATTTTAACATTGTTCATACAATATCTGTTCATGTGCTTGGATTTTGCAACCACAACAATCTAGCCTGTTTCCTTCAATGTAATGATCTTGAACATTACTCCTGCTTTATAAACATCATCCCTCATAGTAGGAGACTAGTTTTCAGATGCATATATGAGAGAAATATTATTTTATAGACCTGTACAGTGTGTCCGTAAAATAATGTTGGGGTAACAGACAGTCATAGTTTTGGAACAAAGCATGATAGAGATATGAAATAAACTTCAAAATAAAGAGAAACGCTCCAAGTATCTTACCTGTTCAGTAGATTTCGATATGCGCTCCTTTAGTTGCCCTGCAGACATCAAGAAGATATTCAAGATCTTGCCATACACGACCGAGAACATCCGGTGTGATAGATGAAACAGCTTCAGTGATCCGTTCTTTCAAATGGTCCAAATTTGTTATTTGGACAGAGAACACTTGTTGCTTCACATAAACCCACAAATAAAAATCCATAGGGGTAAGATCTGGAGAGCGGGGAGGCCAGGCTATCCATCCTCCTCGTGCGACCCATCGCTGAGGAATCGTTTGGTTTAGGTAATCCCGCACGAATGTGGCAAAATCTGGAGGAGCTCCATCTAACTGAACGAAATTCTCCGGTATTTGGGGCACTGCATACCCTTCTAACATATCCAGGAAGTTCTTTCCCGTCACAGTTTTTTCAGCAAAAAAGAAGGGGCCAATAACTCTGTCTCGTCCAATTGCGCACCACACATTAACTTTTGGGCTATCACGTTGATGTTCTACGACATATGGAGGTTCATTACCCCATATTCTAACATTATGCCGATGGACTTGTCCCGAAACATGAAACATAGCCTCATCACTGAACATAAACTTGTCTAAAAATTCCCCATCATGATCTAACCTATCCAGAATGTCTGTAGCAAATTCAAATCATTTAATTTTGTCCTGTGGATAAATTTTATGTAACATCTGAATTGCAGTGCCCCAAATACTGGAGAATTTCATTCTCCAGTTAGATGAAGCTCCTCCACATTTTGCCACATTCGTGCGGGATTACCTAACCAAAAATTTCCTCTGCGATGGGTCAGACGAGGAGGGTGGATAGCCTGGCCTCCACGTTCTCCAGATCTTACCCCCTATGGATTTTTATTTGTGGCTTTATGAAAAGCAACAAGTGTTCTCTGTCCAAATAATAAATTTGGACCATTTGAAAGAACGGATCACTGAAGCTGTTTCATCTATCACACCGGATGTTCTCGGTCGTGTATGGCAAGATCTTGAATATCGTCTTGATGTCTGCAGGGCAACTAAAGGAGCGCATATTGAAAACTACTGAACAGGTAAGATTCTTGGAGAGTTTCTCTTTATTTTGAAGTTTATTTCATGTCTCTATCTGCTTCGTTCCAAAACTATGACTGTCTGTTACCCCACCATTATTTTATGGACACACTGTATTTTGGAAAGCAAGTCAGATAATAAGAGATTCTGAACAGATGCATTTCCTGGATTTATTCTTCTTTAAATTCCATTATTAACCTACTTTTTTTCTACTTTTGTTATGAGACAGTTATATTCCAAAATATTTTCAAATGATCAGTTGCTTGTAGTTATATTATGTATGTGTTTCAAACTTGTTGCATACATACATATGCATTTATATTTACATCTAGACCAGTTTCTTTTCCCCTCCTCTAAATTAATTTGTCATTTATGTTAATTATTCTAACCTAACAAATTAATGCCACCAATAAAATTAGTACCTGGTTTAGGCAATTCATATCAACTTACTTTTACACTCTAAAAACAGCACTCAAAATAAATCAGAATCTTTACCAGTGGCAAAGTGACACGAAGAATATGGGTAGTTATAATATTATTCTTTTAAACAAAGCAATTTATGAATTCCATTACAAAAATCTACTCTCTGAACAATGGCTGCTTACAGGAATTAGTCAACTTTAAACAAAAACTACAGTTTTTAATTCTCAAACAAAGTATCAGACTATAAGATGACATTTTTATGAAATGATGTGCCATCACTATACATGGTATGGCCTTCAAACACTTCAGTAGCTTTCAGCCAAGTATAGACGAGTAGTGTAAGGAGTGGTTGCATATGTATTAGTGTTTTTCCATTTCCTCTCTGTTTCTGTGAAAGTTTGTTGGTCTGAGAGACCAACACTTTGAATATCATAAAATATGGCATTTCCAGCAGTGAATCAGGAACTGAAGATTTGAATCACAGCAAGGATTCAGTATCTCTCAGCAATATTGGGGACAAAGAGTGTTTTGATAAGCATCATGAAGAACCAGAAATTTTGTTAGAAAGAATTACTTTTGTTGAGAATTAGAACAGCCTAACAAATCAAAACACACTCCCCATCAAAATATAATTTGAGGTTTGCCAGTGTTATCAGCCACTGTTAAATGATTAAAGAATGCTCCACCAAAAGGAAAAGAATATTGGAACTTGTTTGACACACAAACAAATTAAATAACTAAGTAATTAGATGGCTAACAGAACCTAAAGGTTCATCACCAAGACAACCAAAGCCCTCCACTGGTCCCTGTCCTGGGCCAACCAAATCCAGTCACCTTCAACTCATATCTCCCATAGATCACGCTTGATATTATCCTCCCATCTATGTCTAGGTCTCCCCAGTGGTCTCTTCCCTTCAGGCTCCCCAACCAATACCTGGCACACACCTTTTGCCCCATCCATGTGTGCCACATGCCCTGTCCATCTCACTCTTCTTTACTTAATCACCCTGACGATGTTGGGGGAGAAGTAGAAATTTTTAAGTTCATCATTTTGCAGTTTTCTCCACGCCCCATCCTCTTCTTTCCTAGGCCCAAATATCATCCTCAACACCCCATTCTTAACAAAATTGTAAAATGGACTAATGTGAAATTAGCAGTCCATATGAGAGAAGGTATATGGTCTTCAAAAGAGAACAAAAATCTGTTAAATCACCACTCTCAGGTACATTCACTACTGAAAATTTCAAAACTACTAGTATCACCTTCACCACTCTGTCAGTCTGACTCTCTGCATGTAACAATTCAAAAACCAATAAACAGATTTTCATGACATTTCATATTAGGTAGTTTTATCAAAATTTGTCGGTACATTCTAATTTTGGTTGAAATTAGACCAGAACATGGATTTCACATTAAGACCTTCTGCACATGGAAGTAAATGAGTTGGGAATCCCCAGGCAGTTTCACAATGATAATTAATAACAATGGTGATAATGACTATGACAACGAAAACAGGAATAGTTCACATATAAATATTCCAATACCACAGGATATGTTAAATGTAATAAAACTATGCAAGTGTAAGAACATGCATACATTCATACTAGTACTTGAAAATTGCAGTTTACTATCAAATACAATATGGCAGAACCCATGCTACTATGATGGCATGGGTAACAACAAACTGCAGACATTCTACACATACATGTTAACACACACAAGAAACATTAGCCCCAAAGAAACATTTAGAAAACTACTGTACCATTACAATCTGCTAATGACATAAAATACCAGTTTTCATTCCAGTGTGTCTCGAAAATACAACACAAGGAGCATATATAATTTTAGGTTATTAAAAATAACTGGTTAGAAATACGTGATAAGATTGAATAATAACCTGAATCTCTCAAAGCAAAAACTGTGCATACTTTGAGATTAATTTCACACATTTCTTGGAATAGTTTTCAAAAACAGAGTTCTGCGGCCTGCTTCTACCTACCTGCCTAGCTATATACAATGGATTCCGGTTAATTGGGACACATCAGGAACACTTTGGCCCAATCAAGCGGCTGCCCCAATTATGTGGAGTTCCACGTAAAAAGTTAAAAAGGTCTGTTCTTTAATATTCATCCCAAATAAACGACTGCCCTGATTAATCAATGGCCCAATTAACCAGAAATTACTGTATACAAAACTAAAATTTTGTTAATTATAAACATAAAAATGTATGTTAGCATGATTCATGTCAATTGTGTGGGTAAAATAAATACTAACAATCAAGTAAATGCAATATCAATACAATCACACACCTCAAAACAAAATTTTAAATAATATAAATGTAATTAATTTCATAACTATGTAATATAAGAAATCTAAAATTTAATTCATAAAATGGGAATGATTATGTAACCAAATGACTGACTTAATGTTTATGTTTTGGAACATTTAGTTTTTGCAACAAAAAGCACAAAGTGGAAATGTGTGACTGTAAATTTTAAACTCTAAAATTAATGTTCTTGGTGGAATCAGTCATAATTATGTGAACTTGTGTTTCACTTTCAGAATATGCTTCATCCTATTCTGAACTTCACTGTCTTGCCTAAAAATTATAATAGCAGACAGTATCTAACAAGATCAGTTACCAATGGCAGATTTCATTAACATTTCTTCATCACAGAATCTCTCTACATTTGATTTTCCATGAGTTTTTACAAAATAGCATTTTAAATGATAACGCTGCCTATGCAGGGTGTCCATGATGCACATTCAGGGGAGGTCATTATAAGTATCAATACTGGCAAAATTTACTGTGCATTGTTTTACATTTGTTATTAATGTTGTAACTTATTACAGTAACTGCTCAAGTACCAACCACCTTCTTTTAGGCAAACTCTCAATCTCTATAAAACAGAACTACTTGCTCTGCATAGAATGGTGTAATCATTTCTGATCTGCATAGCACAATTGAAGATGAAACCAGTTAATTCTGCAAATATTATGATTTCTTTTCATAAGGCTTTTCATATGCTGCCCAAAGGCACCATATCCAGCAACCTCAGTGGCCAGATTTGTGATCCTCCCTGGCTGACCCAGTGACCTTCAAAGCACTGGTTCAAAAACTATATAACACAACTTGAAAAGTGTGCTGGAGCACCAATGTGCTGAAAGCACACACTCTTACATCAAGCAGCACACCTTCCAGCAGTTCTTGTAGAGAGTCTTCAAGGGAGCATAGGTACGTGAGATTTCTGGCTCTCAATGGCAGTGAGTTTGAAGGTGGGTTGTTGTAACTGTAGTCTGGTAGAAGCTTACTGATGTTTCAAAAGTGATTGCTGCCCCCATTATCATGGCACAACAACTGAGACAACAGCCATCTTCAAGCTTCAGTACGTCTCTGCAGTTAGGTTCTGTTCAAACACTGGTCCAATACGTTCACAAGTGAGAATATCTATGGTTCATTATACCATCCCTCAAGAATACTGCCTCACAAGAGACAAGGAATTAACATTTCCTTTTGAATAATCTTCAAAACTCCATATGTGCAGGCCAATCTTCAAGTTGAAGGGCTTGAACAATCTGCTGATGAAATAGATAATAACCAAGAAAGTTAAGAGTTCTCCTCATTTGCAGTTTGTGGATTTACAGAGACATTCAACAAACACTGGTGGCTTGACCATCAGGGTGTGTCCTCTCCCACATTAACTGTTTGCTGAACTGGATGCTAAAGGCATTGCTTTGGAAAGTTACCTTTCTTCCTAACACCTGTGAAAGCATCTAAAGGTGTATGTCAATTTTGGAATCATCTCTTATATTGTCAGACAGCTGCTGCAGCATTCTCACTGCAGAATCCATAAAGTAAATGAATATCTATCCACATATCCTTTGTTAGTATACGTGCATACTTTAAAAACTTCAGTAGAACACACAACACATTACACTAATCTAGCTCTAGTTATTCATCAAATAAACATGTGTTGTCTTCTCAATAGTGTTGTCTATCTGCTCATTGTTATCTTCCCCATTTAAAAATTCTTGTCTCAGTAAATTCAAATGTCCTTAACTCCATTACTTAGAACAGCAAAAATGAATACTCTTTGTTTTCAACGTGTGATGGTCTCCACTGAATGCAGGTGAAGTACTTCTCTGCATTATGAGATGTGCTGTGTCATTAGTACATACATCAGAAGCAGAAAAGAAATTTGGCACTGGTAAAACTACAAAATATATAACCCAAGAACTTTTCAGCAGCACAAATTATACTTTCAACAGACAGAAACATTTCAAATCATTTTTCAGAAATTTTTTTATAACATTGGAACAGCGCAGTTTTTAAATACAAAGCATGAGAGTTAACCACTTGACCACAACGTTTGGCAACATTGGCCAAAATTACTATCATGTCTGTGAGAAATTGCTATTTATGTATTTAAACCGATAAGCCAAAAGGTCCTGTTCACCAACATATCACATTTCAAGAGTGTATATTTAATGTGTGCTTTTATTATTAATGGAGGATGAAGTGGATGGGACATTTGGAACACGTGGGTGAGGGGAGGGGTTACAAGGTACTGGTTGGGAGGCCAGAAGGGAGCTGGGAAGACCCAGGCAGAGGTGGGAGAATAACATTCAGATGGACCTTAGGGAGATAAGAATCGATGGAGTAAACTGGATGCAACTAACTCGTGATAAGAAACCGGTCATGGGTTTTTGTAAACATGGTGTTGACCTACAGGTTCCACAAAGAATGTGGGCTATTCTTTGGGAAGCCAGATACAACCAACTTTTTAAAGAATAACCTGCACCATAGAGTGAGTTTCTAAGATAGCCTAAAGAAAGACAGATAAAGATGCTAAATGGGGAAGACAGGTAAAGAAAACATAACTATAATATTTGGTAAGATAGAAGAAATTAAGAAGAGGTATAATTTGGGCAATGCTTGCTACCATGCAGTTCAGCTACTTTTGTTTTCCTGTCTACTGTCTAAAACATAAAGATTAAAATACACAAAATGTTAATTTTACCAGTTGTTCTACATGGATGTGAAGCTTGGTCCCTCATATTTAGGGAATAACACTGATTAAGGGTGTTTGACAACAGGGTTCTCAGGAGAATATTTAAACCCATGAGAAATAAAATAGAAAAATGCAAGAGAAAATTGCATTAGGAGGAGCTCCATTACTTATACTCTTTACTAACTACTTGGATCATCAAATTAAGGGGGTTGAGCTGGGAATGGCATGTAGTATGTATGGGGAGATACATAACTGGTTTGAAAGAATAAAGGTAAGAACCACTTGGAAGATCTAGGCATAGATAGGAGGATAATATTCAAATAAAGTTCAGGAAAACAAAGCATCAGGGTGTGGATTACATTCTTTTGATTCAGGATAGATACAGACTGGTGGTGGGATCTTGTGAACAAGGTATTGAAACTTCAGATTCCATAAAAAGTGAGAAATTTCATGACTGGCTGAGCACACTATCAGCTTCTCAAGAAAGACTTTGCTTCAAACAGTTAGTTAGTTGGTTGGTTGGTTGGTTAATCAATTAGTTAATTATTTAGTTACATAAAACAAAATAATAAAATTTTAGAGATTAAAGATTAATACAAAATTTGAGCAAATGTAATAGAAAAATATATTTTATATACGTATCAGGCAGAAAATATAAGCAGTATAAAGTCAGATGCCATATGTCAACCCTTTAAATGCTGCACATAAGACATCTTGGTTATATATCATACTAGAATAATCAAGCACCAAAGAAAATAAGTAAAATAAACTTCTCCTCTTACATCTTCATAGCTTTTCAGCAATATAAATTATGTCACCATGAAAACATACTGGCAGAAAAAGATGATTTAAATAAAACCAGCATTAAGAAGGTTAGAGTATTACACAAAAGAGGAGGAATAACAGAACTCAAAATGTAAATGTACAGTCATAATTAGGATTAGAGGTTCTCACTGCAGTGAGTACAAAGACCACCATCTTCAGGACTCACTATGGAGGTAGCAAGGACCTCTGAAACATTGGTAGACTTCTACCAGACTACATGGTGCTATAACCCAGAAGACAGCCATCTTCATTAAGAAAATAAAAAATACTGTGTCATAACTAAAATTTTACCAATATGTAGATGCAGAAATATGCGGGTCTTCTGGACCAAAATGACTGTATACTTATATGTGTTGCCTTGAAAGCTACAAGCTTTATCTAAGCTAAAACATCTGTCACATTATTATTTCATATAGTAACACACAAATATAATTCTAAAAAGTGTTAGTACCCTCACACTGACTGGCTACAGAACAATCGTAACTCTAGCAAATGGCATGATGAATTATAGAGTGAAAACCTATGACTGATAAAAGATAATGGGGACCACTGGCTGCTGGGGAACCGTTATGAGTAAGTTCGGAGGGATCACATTAAGATTCTGTTCATTAGCAACATTATCATTAAGATAAGAGTTTGGTGAAGTACCTCCAAACACTGGAACTCCAGTATTGCCAATATCAAGATTAACAATATCAAAAAACAGAGATGAATTTCTATCTTTAACCCCATTTGTATATATGCTAACTTGACAGCCTGGTTTGGATTTTTGAAACGACTGTGCCAACACTAGTAATTTTAAATTGGCCCTGTAATAAAGGTACAATACAGTTGTCACTTGTACCAACAATTCCAGTCTGCAAGGAAACACTACCAAAAGAGTTCATCTTATCCTGCCTGCAACATTGGTCTCAGATACATATGCTGGACTGTTCAAAAGAATAATGCAAGAAACACCATCAACTTGTCATGATAAAGTTTTACAGTTTGCATTAATCCCCCACCCCACTACTCTACCAGTACTGGCTCTGCCAACAAGTATCAATGGAGAGAGAAAGTCAAAATTACCAGTAGTTGATGTCGTCAAACTAGCCGAAGCCGTAGTAGAAGGCTGAGAGAAAGTGTACCCTGAAACCTGGAACACATGCACCAATGTACCAAAATTTAAAAAAAAGATAAATAAATAAAAATAAAAAGAAACTAATGTGCTAATTATAAAGTAAATTGTATCATTACCAACAAAAGATATAATATACTTGCACATGCATTAAATTAATGCACAGTTTTAAGAGTAGTCAGTATGTTCATAGATTCAAAGCTGTGGTCTTATGGCAGAACTGGACTCGAGGAACATTATGTTATGTACAAACCAAAACACAAAAACTTCCATGCCAAATGGCAAGTAATATTGCATATGAGGCATTCAAAAAATGTCTTCAATCTAGAAATCTTCTTTAAGTGGAGCCATATAAGTCGAAGTGTACAATATATCAAAAATAGTAAAGGAGTCCCTGCACCTAAGTACCAAAAGTTAAGGCACGTAGGAGGAATGGTAATAAAGCTACATTCAGTCTTAACTTAAAAATTCAATGGAGGGAAGGGAACAGTTTAATGCTCTAGTGCAGCGTATCTCAACTGGGGTTCCGCGGAACTATGGGGTTCCACGAGAAATCACTAGGGGTTCCGCGAGAAATAGTGATGAATAGGCTAATCATATGTAAATGTATTTTTGAGTCATTTTTGTGTTTAATTTCATATTCGTCATTTTACTATACACGTACATCATATTCTTGGAAAATTCTTGGGTATTATAATAAAGTCTTCAATCTGTTATATCATTTAGAAGTATAATAATCATAGGAAATATATTTAGCGATATCCATACGGCGCCAGTGTGAAACCAGGAGCTGTATGTGGCGGATTCACGTATCATCAAGTGACTCAGTCGAGTACAGGACGCATGCATGGTCGCCATCAGTCCTGTCTGTGCTTTCTGGCGTGCAGGTACAGCCCCTCATTCACCCAGGTTATTTAGTAAATTTTACCCATCATTTAGGGATGTTATCTGGTTATATGAATTTTAAAAATTTAAGTATGTTTATGATTATTTTTGTTAATTTATGAGAAATTTGTGTGTGTGTTCTCTCTCTCTGTCTTCCAAAATTAATTCTTCTGTTTGCCTTTATTTGCTTCAGTTTGTTTTGTTTAAATTTTATTTATCAATTTATTTATCTTCTTTTTTACATTTTTTATTTTATTTTTTTTATTTTAGAGAAATGTCTGACCGTGCAATGTGGCGATTTTTGAAGAGGAAACATCCAGACAATTCTGAAGAGGCTAGTGATGAAGAATTGCAATCTCCTGACAAATTTCACTGCACTAGTGCACAAAAAAGGTTTGTCTTTACAATGAAAGTTGCTTATCAATGGGCTTTACATGGACTGGTGATCCAGGTTGTCCTATTCCATTGTGCCTCATCTGTGGCAAACAATTTTCAAATGCAGCAATGGCTCCAGCAAAATTGAAAAGACACTTCACGACAAATCACAGTCATATGAAAAATAAAAGTGCTGATTATTTTATAATGCTATTGGAATCTAAAAATAAACAGAGTACAGCTTAATAAATTCAGTGTCAGTTAAAAGGCTCAAGAAGCAAGTTATTTGGTAGCAGAAATTATTGCACAGAAAAGGAAAAGTCACACAGTTGGTGAGAACCTAATAATGCCAGCATGTAAAATTATAGTGGGTAAAATGCTAGAACAAGATGCAGTATGAGAAATTGAAAATGTTCCACTTTCAAACAGTACAATAAGTCGACGTATCGATGACATGTCACATGATGCTGAAGAGGTTTTGTGTAAGGTTTTGTGTGATAAACTGAAAAATAGCAGTAATTCTATCCAGGTTGATGGGTCAACAGATCTTACCAATAAATGTCACGTTGTAGCTTTTGTAAGATTTGTCAATGAGGGTGAAATTCAAGAAAACTTTTTCTGTTGCAAAGAATTGTCTGAGACAAGCAAAGGAATAGATATATTCAATGTTTTGTCCCCATATCTGGAAACAAAAGATTCTCCTGGAAAAACTGTGTTGGCATCTGTATTGACGGTGCCCCATCCATGGTTGGCTCCATAAGAGGTTTTGTTTCTCACGTAAAACAAGAAAATGCTGATGTTGAATCAACACACTGCTTTCTTCACAGAGAGGTGCTGATTTCAATACCTCTTGGAGATGAATTGAAAAAATGGTTAACTTTATTAAACAAAGACCAGTTCACTCCACACTGGTTAAAAAGCTGTGTGGAAACCTGTACAAAGAGCACATAAATCTCTTGCTACATGCAGAAATCTGGTGGCTGAGTAGAGGAAGAATTCTAAATAGGGTGTTTGAGCTAAAAGATGAATTGCAGGAATACTTTCAAAAAAGCAATAAGCAACATTTTGCCAAGTGCACTGAAGATGAAAAATGGTTGCACTGGAAGAACTGTGTTGGCATCTGTACTGATAGTGCCCCATCCATGGTTGGCTCCATAAGAGGTTTTGTTTCTTATGTAAAACAGGAAAATGCTGATGTTTTCTCAACACACCGCTTTCTTCATAGAGAGGTGCTGATTTCATAATCTCTTGGAGATGAATTGAAAAAAAGTTTTTGATAATGCTACAAAAATGGTTAACTTTATTAAACAAAGACCAGTTCACTTCAGAATGTTTAAAAAGCTGTGTGAAAACTTGGACAAAGAGCACAGAAATCCGGTGGCTGAGTAGAGGAAGAGTTCTAAATAGGGTGTTTGAGCTAAAAGATGAATTGCAGGAATACTTTCAAGAAAGCAGTAAGCAAGATTTTGCCAAGTATCCTGCCATTCATAGGAAAGCAATAAATATATTTCTGCAGTTCTCAACCTCTTACATGTGTGAGCAAGCTTTATCTTATTTAACAAGTATCAACAACAAAGACAGAAATCGTCTCCTTTCAGTTGAAGATGAAATCCTCGTCTGTTTATCCAAAGGTCGACCCCGAATTAAGTATTTGTGTACCAAAAGACAAGCACAGGTTTCACATTAGAAAAGTAAATTTTATTATCTAAATTGGCTTCAAAAATATCTTTCCTTGAGACATATTTGTTCATATGACATTTTACCTTGATTTATCTTATGCCTTTTCAACACTGTCAATAAACAATTAAGTTATTGTAGTAGTTATTATCTGTTTTCATTCTGTTTATATGTGTTATATAAGATATTGGTTTATATTTATATATATATATATACACACACACACATATACATACACACACACACACACACAGATATGGGGTTAATTTTTTGTGTGAATGAAAACCTCCATATGAGGTCTCTTGAACAGGCAGTTTGACCTCAGTTTTTTTGTATTGTCAATAAACTTGAGAAAAACGGAAGTTATTTTTTGCTTAAACCAGTTATCAGAACAAATATATGATGTTTCCCTCATGAACTTTAAGTTTATAAAAGAGAAAGAAAGATATTAATAATGATATATAATAATTTTTATGTAGGGGTTCCCTGAGACATGAATATTATTTCAAGGGTTCTGCAAGGGTTAAAAGGTTGAGAAACGCTGCTCTAGTGACTTAAAGTCCAAGAAAAGATCCCCTGTCCTATTGGGTCCCAGAGCCAGTCCATAATTAAGACTGGTCATCCAGTGTGTGCAGGCAGTAATACAGGGTGCGGCAGAGCATGTTTTTCAAATAACAATAACTCAATTGATTTTCAAGTTAAAAAATTTTTAATTACACAAAAAGAAAGGTTTTAATATGCAGTTTTTGTTGAAAGTTTTGAATTACTTCCGAAAAATAACGCCCTTCCTTCTGCACGTACTCTTGCAGCCTCTCCTCGAAATTCTGCATTGCTCTTCCCAACATTTCTTCCCCCACAGTAGCGATTTCCTGGCAAATGGAATCTTTCAGTTCCTGGATGTTGCGTGGTTTGTTTCTGTAGACCTTTGATTTGAGGTAACCCCACAAAATAGTCACATACGGACAGGTCAGAGGAGCAAGGCGGCCACGGATTCACCACTTTTGATATAATTTTCAACGACAAACGCCCAATGCTCGCAGGTCCACGGTGCCATGGCTACTGTAACAGCATCATTTAAGCTGTCTACTAGCAAGGGGGCAGAAATCCCCCACCCTCCTCCTTGCCAAGTACTAGCCATTTGAAAAACATGCATTTCCTCTGCTGCACCCTTTATTACTGATGGAGCTACCCGGAATCCAAGAAAACAAACATATTGCATATATGTGTATTCATGAAGTCCTGAAGTATTTGACGACTTATTATCTCAAATACATTGTAGCTGGTGGCCATTAAAAGGTGCATCTCATTTACACATAATGCCTCTCTGCTGTGTATATGCAACCATTTCCCAAAAAGAAAAATTTCAGTAGATGTTGAGGAAATCAATACAAGGGCTCATACAGACAGAACTCTAAGCAAGAAAAATATCTTATGGGCACAACTTATCATATCTTTCAACTGACAAGATTGTGTTGCCACACATCACTGGTCTTACAAGATACACATATACTGTAATACACTCTGTCAGTGACAATATATAATATATGCTACTGCTACCCATTAGTGTCCATGTAGACTACTTGATATCACACCAACAGGATATGGTATAAAGAATGCCTTTGAAACTTTTGCATACACATTTCCAATCTTATCATTTATAACTACAGTCCTTAACAGAAATGGCTCACTTATGATTCCTAATAGTTCACAGGGTAATTTTAGAGTCTTGATCAGCTGGTGGAAATGGTGATTGAAATACAGAAGCTTGGATAACAATTCTGATGGTACATATTTCATACACAAGATTTTATAATAGTGACCTTCTTGAAACTGGTAAATTTTGTAAAAATACTACACGACATAATACGTATATTTTATAGATACCCACAACTTTTGTTTGGCATATTTCTTTCAGTTACCTTGTCGTGGTGGTGGGGCTTGAGTACCTCAGTGATCCCAAGAGCTATGCTGGTGGTAGCATAGCTACTGGTAGGGCCTCCCTAGCCAGATTTATCAAGGGGGAGAGGTCAGACTAAGACAGGTACAGTGGCCCTCCAGGTTGGGGGGTTGGTCGCAAGGCTAACAACCTTGCACTGTAAAAAGGAATATGTTTTGAAACATCAATCAAAGCCTCGGACAGACGGACCTAACAGAAGACGAATTAAGCGAAAAGATAAGGATATTGAGATTGGTACGTGGAATGTTAGAACCCTTCTTAAAGCAGGAGCATTGTGAGTATTTACAGATCAATTAACTAAATATAGAGTACACATAACAGTGGTACAAGAAACAAGATGGACAAGTGAGGAAATATGGGACACAAAAACACACACTATCTATAGCAGTGGTAAGAAGAAAGGAAATAGAGAGGCAAGGGTAGCCTTCATAGTAAACAAAAGATTTAAAGGAAATGTGATGGAATTCCAACCCATAGATGAAAGACTATGCAAAATAACGATTAGAACCAAGTTGTGTAACCTGTCTATCATAAATGTGTATGCACCTACAGAGGATAAGGATGAAGCAATAAAAGAAACGTTTTATAATAAACTGGAGCAGATAATAGACAGCACACCATATAATGATGCCAAAATGATAGTGGGCGATCTAAATGCACAGATTGGTAAGGAAGAAATATACCAAGGAGACAATAGGGAAACAAAGTCTACATGACACATCCAATGATAATGGCCAAAGATTCATTGACTTAGCCACTAGTAAAAACATGATAATCAGCTCTACTTTCTTCCCTAGGAAACAAATACATAAATATACATGGAGATCACCAGATGGAATAACCAACAACCAAATTGATCATGTGTTAATAGACAAGAGAAGAGGTACAAGTGTAATAAATGTCCGAACATACAGAGGAGCAAGTTGTGGGACGAACCACTATTTAGTTAAAACAGTCTTCAGAGGAAGTATATTGAGACTTCCAAAGAATGGTACAGAGGCAGTGCAAAAAGTAAATATTAGTAAGCTAGAAGATAAGAAGACCAGGAAAACCTTCGTAACCAATTTAGAAGGAAAACTGGAAAGCATGGGATTGCAACAACCACAAGATATAACAAATGATAAGGGTACTGAGGAAATATGGGGAAGACTTAAAGAGAGTGTTGAAGAAACAGCAAAGGTCACACTCAGGACAGCACAATTTAATAAAAAGAAAGAATGGTTTGATGAAGAAAGCCGAGAAGACATTCAAGAAAGAGATAAAGCTTATCAACAAGATTTAGCATGCCCAACCAGAAAAAAGAAACAAGAATTATAAGAACTGAATAAGAAAGCTCAAAACACTTGTCGCAGGAAGAAAAGGAAACACATGACAGAGAAATTAAGTCAAATTAATGAGAAACTTAGAATAGGTAACACATATATGGCGTACAAAGAAATAAAGAATATAAAAGAAGGGTTTAAACCAAGAACTAATATCTGCAACGGCAGGAAAGGAGAGCTGTTAGGAAATGGAAAACAAATCTTATCCAGATGGACAGAATATTTTGAACAAGCACTCAATATTTTGGAAACGGGAGGAATTGAATCAGAGACAGGTGAAGGATTAACAATCTGACATGATATAGAAGATACAGAAGAACAGCAAGCACCCACACTAACAGAAGTTAAAGAAACGCTTCACAAATTAAAAAATAATACAGCGCCGGGTATAGATTTGATACCAGCTGAAATCTGGAAATATGGAGGAGGTATGTTAATAACAGTGCTGCACCACCTTATAAACAAAATATGGAATTTAGAACAAATGCCAGAAGATTGGAAGAAGAGCATAATATGGCCTATAT